AAGATCCCACTCCAGAATACAACAGAAATATGAACAACATGAAAACAAAATGCAAGTTATAAGTTTTTCTTGTGTTACACTAAAAATAATTTTGAGTATACAAATATTTTCGTTGCCTCTTATCCAGTACAAACCAAGGAGGTAATAAGGTAATATATTTTTAATATGCTCGCATCAAAGTAAACTAAAGGAGAGGGTTCCAACTACTATATTATTTGAATCTGAAGTAGATTCCATAAGACGATTTTGACATGATTTTCCATGGATATTCAAAAAGGTATCTTGAAAAAAACCCAATACAGTACTACTACTTAAAACTCTATTAAACTTAAAACAGATACTAGGGCACTTGTAGTTAGCCTTACCTATATTTGGTGGAAACACACTTTTTGAGCATTCCATATATCCAAATGATAATGGAAGTGACAAGAAGTTTTAGAAAAGCTTTTTAACAAGATTTTGAAAAGAAAAGCCCATCCACGATCAACTACAGCTATGAAAGGCAAGATTTTAACTCCATCTTTGAAGATGTTATTAGACTCTCCAAAGTACTGGTATTCTGCATTATAATTGAGATTTTAGTTAAATGGACAACCAATTTAGTACATCATAAATATATTTTCATTTAAAGCTGTCTTTTACTGTTGATTTCACGGTTACTGTTTGGTCATTTTAGAAAATTAATCAACTAAAATTAATTAGTACTGTTAACAAAGGTTTTTTGATACTGATAGTAATGAGATTTTTATTTTATCTATACAGACTATCAGACAAATTTAAATGATTTAAAATATTAATTCAATAATTGAATTCTTATAATAACCACTAACAAAATCTTTCTATGGAATCAGTATAACTCTCACCATAAATATTGTTCAGTATTAGCTGTAGTAACCAATCGAAGTAAAAAGTGGATAGTAATATAAAAAAAAATCTCAATAAAGCTAAACAAAACATTAATTATAAATTTCCAATATTTAATAAGTAAAGTGTCAGAATACCTTGAGGTAAATTTGTACCTTGACTTTTGCTCTTGACCTTTGCACTTTGTAAATTTCTACCTTTGAGAATACCTTGCGGTAAAACTATAATCAAAATTAATAACATCAAAGAAGTGTAGGAATTGTATTTATTTCAAAGTTAATAAAATATAAGAATCGTACAACATAGTTAAGTTGCGGTATAATTTTTAAAGGAAAGCCATATTTCTGCAGTTTTTCTTTATGTTCATTTGGCTTATGGTAAATATTCCTCAATTTATTTTCTAAATCCTTAATATATGCATTATATTTAAAAACACATTAAGGTCCACTAAAATTCAAGAAGACCTACTGAAGATCCAAACTATCACAAATAATAAGATTTTAAGAAACAACACGGGTTCAACCCAATTCAAATTCTATTTCCATATAAACTTATATTAAATTTGTGTTTTTTATTAACTTCATTTGCTACAACGTAACCCAGAAAAGAGAAGCAGGGCATTGCCTTTACAATGTTCCATGAACTGGATACAGATAACTAGATATGAACAGAAATGTTACTGACCAAAGTGACAGCACTATCAAAATGATATATTCACTAGCAACACTAGTAAACCAGATTTATCTTTATGTGTGCAATTGTATGAATTTTACACGAGCTGCCTTCAAATCTGGCTCACGAGTGGTTCTAACATAGTCCAATAAATTATTTATGAAGTATATGGGGAAATTGTGATACATTTATCTCTGTGTGTTCCCTACAATGTTCAACATTTATCCTTTAATAGCATTTGAAAAGATTTTGTCTAAGAATTATTAATAAATATTTTTGTCTTCAATTGTTACGTAGTGTGACGTAACTGAGAAACAGCTCATCAAGAAAGTTTCTTCGTTCAATACGCATTTGAAGATTAGTATTTTACACCTACATCAGACTACAGAATAAATATGAACCCTTAACTGAAATGGACTGTTAGAGGTACCAGTGGCTACAACTTAATATTTTAAGAAAAAAGGCCTCATCTAGAGAAAAATCTAGATGAGATCTAGACAGAACTAGTTAAACCAGTTTGTACTTCACTTGACAATGTTTAAAGTTTGGGATCGCACTAAAGTATATAGTTACGTTCAATATCCGTAATTTTAAGTGCAAGAGTCACTTGTTCAAGTATACAGTTACATTACTTTCAGTAAGTGCAATATTCAACTGAATATACGATAAGTGTTTGGTTAAATGGACAGCTCATGTGAATTGTAATGTTCATATCTTAACAATGCCAATTTTTTACAAAGGGATTAAAGTGCGAGAAAAGGAGTTTTATGTGTTCCGTTATCAGTGGATTCAAGATTAGTTGTGATAAAATAAACCTATTGTCTCGGAGAGTTCTTCTTTAAGATCTATAGCCACAGTGTTTTAATATTAGCCACATTTATAGAAAATTAGATAGTTAACTATTTTTGCTAAGCTAAAAGACAAAGTGTAAATCCAATCATGAAATTAGCCTTGTAGGAAAGTGGAAATAAAACATAATAACATACAATGCATGAAGGAATATATTAATGTAATATGAGCAGTGAGACTCCCCTATGGAGACATAAAACGTATATCTCTCACATGTTTAAGATATGTCAAGAGAATATGATGTGGATAAAATGAACTAATTCCAAAGCAGTGATACATGCTTCAACATGTAACAGTTGGATTATCTGGGTAAGGATCTTTACTTGAGCCACAACACGTGGTTTGGGAAAGTTCTAGCGGAACTCAGTAACGTGATCCATGTTTCAACCTCAAGTTAATATTAAACGCGGAAAAAATTATATAATTTTATGTGCCTATTTCACATCTTCCAACGCTAAGCTACAAGATACAACAAGATACACAATATGGTACTAAATACATTTTTAAACTTCAAGTTGGGCCTATAAGAGTCCCTGCATTTAGCATAGCTGAAGCTTTTCGGAATTGGGGGGCTTTAAGCCGGGTAGACTAGCTTTGCCCAGGAATACATAGTAGTTTATATATTTTATTGATCCTAGCACGTTAAAATATTAATTTTATACTTTCCTGTATTAAAAACTAGTTATTAAGCACGAATCTCTAATCGGAGTCGTAGATATATTTATTGTTTTGTATGTAATAATTACCTCTCAACACAAAACATGATACAGTAGCAAATATTTGAAAACAATATACTATTTATTTGTAAAGGATTTTGTATTTAAAGAATATAGCCTTTCTTGCATTTAATTTTTAGTCATCAGATCTTTTCCAGAGAAGACTTCTGAAAACTCTACGTCTAATGTTTATTTTGATTACCTTCTTATTTTCATGACCTTTTCACAAAAATACTGACCCACCTCGTACCTAAATATTTATACAAAGAGGCCAATTAATATAATATCACGAAAGTCCTATTTCATCATACTGTCCGGAAAGCAGCCGTTTTTAGTTCTCTAAATCGTCCGCAAAATCATCGTTTTCGGATAACTTCAAATAGGGGACGGAAAAACATATGTTACAATTTTTTGTTCGCCAACCTCAAAATTGTATCAGTTCATTATGAAAACACTACTAATAACACGATATTTAAATTTACGTTAGTATGCACGAGAAATTTAAACATTGATGACGACTTTGAATAACCTCAAATCATGTGGTCTAATTGTCTAACGATTGGAATGTTATTTCCACAGTACGATGAAAATAGTTGCTTATCACATGAGGAAAAGTGTATTTTTGGTACTTAATCGTAAAAACAAAACACGATTGCGTACCAAAAAGAGCCACTTTCGCTCCTAGTGATGATAAGTACTATTTCAAAGTAATGTCTGTGTGTGTGTGTATTTATGTGAGGAGAGGTATGTGTGCACATATTCCTTACAGACCACACGTGTTCCGATTTTGACCTTATTTCTGTGGCATTAAAAAAAAAACATTCTGTGTAAAAAGCACGTATACAGTCATTTTTCACACTAATATTTTAAAACGGTTAATAAAGGTGAATGCAATAATTCTCTCAATACTTAGAATTGATCACACATGTTTAAATAACACACCGTAAGCTTGCAACAAAGAGAATAGGGTGTTATTTGCTTATTATAGTGGACACTTTTTTTTTCATATTTACAGAACAGTTTATGTAAGCAGTAAGTTGGCAGTAAATTTTAACTGAAGAGCATCTTTTTCGCATTAAGTACTTTGGAAGGTCTAATAGCTTCTTCAAAGTTCAAATTGAAATCTCGCCTTTCATGGCTGTAATAAGTTGTGGGTGAGACTTTCCTACTGAATACCTTTTGAAAACCTTAATCAAAAATTTTAATTAAATTTCCCTCTACTTTTTATTGACTAGGTAAATTATTAATATTCAAAGACTTGTCCACCAAATAATGTCAAATACCATCAAACCTACGTAATAACATGACAAATTTTCATACTGAATCTTTGTTACTTTGATATAGTCACATATTTTATTATAAGAGTGAACCGCGCCCTCAAGTCTTATATCAAAAGTATTTTAAATAGGGAAACAATTATTTTTATGTAAGAGGAGGAGGAGAAGTGGAATTGTGGATGGCACAATTTGGATATAGGATGCACATTTAAAAATACATTTTAGATGTAGGATGTAAAGTTTTTAAAGGTAAGATGAAATATCAGTAATAAGAGGTTGTTTAGTAGAATTTTGAGGTATAAAAAACACTTAAATTAAATCACACTATGTTTTCCAACGACGATCATTTTGAAAAGAGTAGTGAACGACTATTTGTTGTATGGTGTGTAGTTGAAAAACAACGACAAACGTATGGCGTTTTGCTTTATAACCGCGTCATTTTAATACATGCTAGCAATAGCAATAAAATATCCATACTGTCTATGCATCGACGTGTAATTTCGTTTCAAACGGGACTGGTCTTTTAACATTACACGGTACATGGTCTTGCCAAAATGACATCAGAACCTTTTCTCTAGAGAAAAGTTCGCTTAAAGTTTAGGCCAGACAGAAAGTAAGAAAATTAACAGATATAATTTATTGTTACATTAAATACAAATTTTCGACATTTTTATTCCTGTTCTTCTAAGTCTTTTGTGATGACACTCTGGACCCAATCTTGGAGGGAAGGCACGTCTGTGTAAAGTACGGGATAAGAACCAGGAGAACAAGTGTATCCTCCAGCAAACAATCCATAGAGTACACCATCGACCACCACCGGGTCACCAAAGTCGTACTGAAACATAAAAGTCATAGAGTGAAGGGTAATTGTTCAACAACCAAACATGCAATAAATCACAGGCTAAACATTGTTAGGCCTACATAAAATACATTTTTTGTGTCTAAACCAATGAAATTTTCAATGAAGCAATCACACTCGCTCTGAAGATAAAGACGTCCTTACCCACACATCAGATATGCCGAGAATCGCAATGAAGCTAGAGACGGTAACCACCAGGCCAGCAACACAACCAATCCAGTCAAGGTAATGACGAGGCCTATCATTTGTCGTTACAGTAACTGTAGGGTAAAATATTACCGTCTTTATCAACTGTGCTACGATTGCTCTTTTCACCATGAAATTTCACGTAAATGACTACAATAGTCAATCGAGATTCAAGATTATCAACTAGTTTATTCAATTAATGTAGATGACAATATATTATTTTAATAAAATGTCTAACTGACATAGTTCTAGATGGTAAAGGTATTAAAGTGTTAACTTGTTAATTAAAAATACTTTATTTTTAGTGATTATTAGCACTGTTCGATGGTTAGGAATTAGCCAGATAGAAACCAGACGATTTTAGGCAGTAAAACGTTAGTAAAGTGTTGGTCTTTGGTGGATTACCGGGTCACTTGCGTTAAACCAATTCATGTTTAAGGGTAAGCCACAATGTAACTGTCAGTGTTGACCTGTTAGCATTCCCCATCGCGTCGGCCAAACTCTTTTTCCCAAATAATTCAAAGACACATTGACATCTTTATCTTCGAAGACCAATGCTTTACTGGTCGTGCTTGTTACTGCCTGTCTCCTTCGGCCGATGTAGTCTACCTTCAAGTACCTCTCCAGCTTTAGGCTATGATGCAACTTACTCAACAATAATATTCGACTTATTCCCCTTGAGTGAGATTTGAAGAATTTTTATTCATCTCTGAATCCCAAATAATTTCTTGTCATACTATTTACTTGGATCTCCAAATTATATTAAGAATAACGTCATACTTACGGGGCAAGCTGCCACATTTTGGTCCAAAGTACAGAACAGCCTGGGTGTGAGGTAGTCGCCGTACGTTCCAACACACTTCTTCCTGTTGTAAACAGTTATCTGCGCCTCCAATATGCTCTTGGGAATGTTCTCGGTCTGATAACAGTACAGAATTATCAAGGGTTTGCTACAACTCTTAAAATTTACAACTAGTAAATTTTAATCTTGCGTTGTCCCGTCCACATAGGCCACAGGTCTCTGCATGAAACCTATGCAACAAAGTATGGAGAAATCCAGGTACATGCCAACAAATTAGGTGCCAAATAAGGTGGCAACAGGAGGCATAACCACGAAATTGCTCGGATATTGTGAAACACAGAGGATATAACTGTAACTAAAGTTAGACCTATCATAATAAAATTTCTTGTAGTACGAAACTCACCGCGTCATAGCCCCACCCGGCAGTCCAAGCCTTGGTGTTGGGTTTCAGTGACTTTGTGCCCAATGTGATGGCCTTCACCTTCTTCCCCAACTTGATGGGTTTCTTGACCTTGACCAGGGCAATGTCATAGTCCCAGCCATCCCCAGTATAGTTCGGGTGTATCACCACCTTGCCGGGCTTCAACACCTGGCCTTGCTTGTTGTAGAAACTGCTGCCAACTCGGAACGTCAGATCAGCAGTTGGAATCCTGAAAATAAAAAGTATTTAAGTTCTCTTTCCATGTCGACACGTCAAATAATAAAATCACAATCCTGGGACTGTAGCCATGACCGCAAGAGGTGATTACGATGTCGCTGTGATCGAAACAGTTGCTCAAAGATGTCGCTGTGATCACATCAGTTGCTCACAGATGTCGATGTGATCGCATCAGTTGCTCAAAAATGTCACCGTGATCGCATCAGTTGTATGAGAATTTTACCGATTCTGTTCTAATGGTTCGGCAGTTATGATTTTGGTTCGACAAAGGCCTATTTAAGTAAACAAATACAATCATCACTGTGCGTGCAATTTTCCCGTTGTCGCCAGGCCGTGCCGCTGGTAGTCTCGCCCCATTCGACTTTAGTAACCGACATTTTAAGGTCACTTTCCTAAGATCAGTTGGTATCTATAATTCTCTTTAGTCATTGATTCATTACTGGTTGGTATGAGATAGACAATAGTAGGCATAATATTACATAGTAAAACCAATTAATGTGTGTGTACCAGGTAAACAATCGAGTTAGGACTTCGACAATTTGAGACACTTTAATATTTTGAGGTTCACTGGTGAAACAATTAAGATATTGAAGAAAAAAATAGCTTAATTTATGTTTAAAGAGATACATATATATTTACCATTCTGGATCTACATTCCATCCAGTAGTAAGGAGCCAGTTCTTGTTCAGTACCACTGCTGCGCCGTACTCTTCTCCATATTGCTCCAATGACGCCTGTCAACAGACACCACATATGCAGTATTAAATGCACCACTTGTAATAGTGTCATCAGTGTAAGTACATTTTAAATACATACATAGATTATTTTAGCTATACCCTATCTGGGTTCATTGAAAACGGTATTATGTTTTTTTGGCATTTAATCATTTTATTTATATTCCAACTTTTTTCTATATAGCCTACAATAGCACTAAGTTCTTATTTAAAATACGATAGTAAAAAATAGTTGTACAGTATATACATAATGTTAAGTTTTCTGTTGATTTATTTTGCCCTAAGTCTGTCTCCGAGACATAAAAGTGTTGTCATTAAAATATTTGTACCACTAGTCTGGCTCCAACCCATGTTTTAGAATTTTAGAATATTAACATGTGCTTTTGTATTATTGTTGGTTTTAATGCTCTGTGTTCAAGTTGAAGAAATATAAAACTGTTGTACTCAATAATCTTCGTTCTTGATGGTTATTTAGTGATTTTCTCTCTATGAAAGTACCAACAAAGTTTTCCTCCCTTTTCACTATAACTCCCAGGGTGATTATAAAAAACCTGATCGATTTTAACTTTGTCTCACTCATTCCGTGTTAGAGGTAGAAATCTCTAGTTTTCATTATTTGTTAGGGAAACTCAAAAAGTTTTATAATCAGCTGTTTTTATTAGCAGTACCTTCTTACATTGTTGTGTGATAAACAAAAACAAATAAGTAACATTTTACGATGGATCCTCGAGTGAAGACGCAGTGTGTCGAGTGGTTAATAGAAACTAAGTCTCCTATTGCTGTTCACCGTAGATTTGCCGAGCATACATCACAGAAAAGGCAATGGTCGTCCAAGGGTAAGTGAAGAAAACGTTCAAAGAATTCATCATTTCTTAATAATCCGAGACAATCAACAAGATCTGCAGCTCGAGAGTTGAATATTAAGCATTCCACTCTACACAAAGTGTTAAAAAGAGTTTTGCATTTTCGGTCTTATAAGTTACAGATAGTTCAAAAGATTACGCGACAAGACTGGGCCAGACGCAGAGAATTTGCAGTTACAATGCTCGACCGTTTAGAAACTGACAATAACTTCTTAAACCGGATATTTTTTTCTGATGAAGCTACGTTTCATGTATCAGGGAAGGTGAACAGACACAATGTCTAGATATGGGGATCTGAGAATCCTCATTTTCACCAGGAGCATACTAGGGATAGTGAGAAGGTGAATGTTTGGTGCGCCTTATCTTGCAACAGATTGATCGGCCATTTCTTTTTTGCCGAAAGAAATATCAATGGGACCATTTTCGTGGATATGTTGGAAAACTTTGCCATTCCACAGTTTGAAAATGAGCAACCAATCATGATGTTACAACTAGATGGCGCTCCACCTCATTGGAGACGGTTTGTTCGTGACTTTCTCGACGAACATTTCCCAAATCGTTGGATTGGCCTTGACGGACCCATACCTTGGCCACCAAGGTCGCCAGACATTACCCTATGTGATTTTTTTGTTTAGGGGTTAGTAAAAGATCGTGTTTACTCCAACAAAGTCAACAGCCTGGAAGAAATGAAGCAAAAGATCAGAGAAGCATTTGATGAAATTGATGTTGCGATGTTGCGGCGAGTTTGGGCAGATCTCGAACACAGACTTGATTATTTAAGAGCTAATAATGGAAAACATATAGAAATAAGATAGTGTGAATGTGTCATCGTAAACTTAAGAAAATTGTCTTTAATTTAACATTAATTTTAAAAAATTTTGATGAAAAATAAAAGAGCAATGACTGTTTAAAATCGATCAGTTTTTTTTATAAACACCCTGTATTTTAAAGACATATAAAGATTTACAAAGAAGCCTAGAATAGTTCTAGGTAAAACCTCTTCCTAATTGGTATTACACAAGCCTAAGTTTTATCCTCTAACTACTCTGATTCTCGCCTCTCTAGTCATTTCACATAATGACAACAAATTAGAGGTTTTCTAGTTTTTTTTGCAGTTCATTTGATATGAAAATCTTTGAAATATTTACAATTTTTGAAGCAGCACTTACAATGTAAGGGTATTTGGTGATGGATGTTTTGTTGCCGTTGAATATGTACAGAGAGTTTTGAGATCTCTTCCTGTTAGGCAGTTTTCCGATGAATTGTTGCTCGGCATAAGTCGCTCCTGTGACAAAAACTTTAATTATGAGGAGAATTCCTGCAATATAAGTTTTATTATTGAGACTAATGTCTTAAAGTTAACCAATGATGTCTTATGTAAGGTATCATAGTTGTTTGGAATATATCACTTTACTTACGATTACATAACACGAGAAGGAATATCTGAGCAACACAATTTATGTTCCTCCATACCAGTAATTAAAAATAAGTGAGTGGCTAGGATCCTTGCATAAACATCCTATGGTATAAAAGTAAATGGTGAAGTCTGTAGAGTTGTTTAAGCATTGATGCTTCACGCCGTCAGGATCAGGAATTAATAAACTATGCTACAATGATGCAATTATTATGTGGCAAAACCATAGTTCAAACATATCTTTTTCAAAGTTTAAGAGTATCCTTCATTTATGTATAGTTCTACTGTACTAATTACTTTTACAAAAAAAAAAAAAAAAACTGGTACGGATTGAAAGTTTTAAACAATGACTTTTTATGACTTTATTTGTTACCTACTAAATTAGATTAAACTATAAATCATAACTAACAATCCAACCAGGCCACATGGTTTCAAAAAAGTTTACTTAAGTATATTAAAAATACCTTCGCCCCAGCATACCTGCAGATTAAGCTAATTGCCATTTGCCTAGTTTGATTTAACTTTTAAATCTATTTAAATAACATTAGGTTTAATTAGTTCCTAGGTGTGCTGCTATGGGGGATAAATTGTGTTTTTAGTTAAATATTAAAAGCTTCACTTAAAGTAAACCTAAAAAGTAAAATATATTTATGCACATAAAGTAAATAAATTTGCCAAGTTTGATCAAAATGTATCCATATACATGCATACTACATCAGTTTACTTATTCTATATAAAAATAACACGGTAAAAGTTTACAATTACTTAAGTTTTATCCTTAGTTATTTCCATAGGTGGAGTGGTGAGACCTGAGCCCAGGATTGATTTACTTTTTTCATTTTAATGTCCCTAGAAGCTAAAACACTAGTCTAATTTGGGTCCGATTTTGACCAAATTCCACTTGAAGGTGTAGGACCGGATAAACTTGAATGATTTCGCACACCAGCAAGTGGGCATTGGAACAGGGTACTTTAGGGGTTTGAAATTTTCTGTTTACCTCAAAACATGAAAATCCCCAATTTCCAAAACAACTATCGTGTAGAGCTAAAAAAAACAATATTTTTTTATATTGAATTGGTGTATTAAAATTAAACTTTAACGAAGAAAATTCCCAAAAATCTGTACATTTAATATTCTTATGTCATTCTAATGGAGAAAGGAAGGTTTTTATAGTTTGCTTGCTTAAGGATGTATGTTGATTAAATTTGGCAAATTTATTGACTTTTTCTTATCCTATTAACGTTTGGTCAAAAAACACAGTTTACCTTCCCCATTGCAGCACAACTAGGTACTCACTAAATATATTGTTATTTAAATTAGGAGTAAATGAGATTTGTGTACGGAAATATTATAGTAAAAATCCAATCAGACAAATTGGAAATCGTTTAGTCTGCAGGTTTGCTGCGGGTACTAATGGCAAAAAATATTGTACGTCGCTCGTCCAAAATGTGTTTACCGTACTTGTATGGTAATCCCGCACTCACTAACCATTATTTTAAACAACTTTAGTTGCCTTAGTTACCAATTAATTTTATTTAGATATGAATTTTTGTTTGTTGTATACCTGTAGAAAATTTTCTGAAGGTTTTAATTTATTTATCTGAAGTTTTTTATTTGCCCTATTTAGGGCAATCCTTGTGCACCCAAAATTCGAAGTCAAAAAAAGAAAGGAAAATTATGGGTGGGATGACTGGAACCGCCCATTATATCTGGACCATCCTTGGTTGATGGTTGAAGAATAGGACACTACCAAGACATACATGCATACCCAAACTTGATTATTTGTCAGATCCTGCTAGAAATCACCAGCAATCCTGGAATCTGAGGAGAATCTTTTTCCAAGAGAAACCATTCGATTGAAGTTTCCTTTCATCAGTTTCCTTGGAAGATCCACAAGTGTTCTTTCGTATCATGGAGGAAACAACCTGATTCAATCACAGAAGATTTCCCAGAACACTATGTTGATTTTCTTCTGACTCCTCTTCTGGTAACTTACTTGAGAAGTTTGTAGACCTCTGACTTCATCTTCTTCTGCGTGGCTTCTTCACATTGATTTCTTAGTATAGAATATAGGATGTTAAGATTATGTGATTGGAGGTTGTGGCACATTCCTCTGATCGAATCCTGGATGTTTGCTATATCGTGGAAAAAGACTTTACAGTTGGCCTTAGGAGTCGATGAAGTATATCAACAAAGTGTTCTGGGGAAATATTCTGTTATTGAATCAGGTTGTTTACTACGTGACAGGAAAGAACACTTGTGGCTTCAATGGAAACTGAAGAAAGGAAACTTCAATCGAATGGTGTTCTTCTTGAAAAAATATTCTCCTCAGAGTCCAGAATTGCTGATGATTTCTAGCAGGATCCGTCAAATAATTAGGTTGAGAATTTACAAAACACCTCTTTAATTGGCGACTTGAAATTAAAATTCTAAATTGTATTCATCAAGCACCGCAAGCCAAATTATTATTTGCAATTCATTAAGTCCTAATACAAGAAACACATTATTTCATGCATGTCTTTGTTTAAGTAAATTAAATTGTGTTTTTAAATAGTAGTTTACGCAACGATTGCGTTAAGTGAGTCTTTACGACACGAGTAGAAAATTTAAGGCACGAGCCTTGGCGAGTGCCTTAAAAACTTCTACGAGTGTCGTAAAGACTATTAACGCGAGTTGCGTACACTACTTTACCTACGACCGTTTTTTAATTACTATCAATCTGGATTTAATTACTAACAATCACTACTGATAACTTTTTAGAGAGGTTATGTTTTCGTGTATTGTCATTGCCACTGAAAGTGATGCAACGACTTGTTGTATAATCAGCTGATTTCCTGTAATTACGTGTTTGTTAAACTTCGTTAAATATTACATTGCTAGCAGCATTCTTACCATAAATAATATTGTATCAGGTACAATTCGGCAAATATTTCATTTATTTTTGGACTTCCACCAACTTAATTAAGAATAGTATCAACATGAACAAGTCGGATCAACAATTAAATTGGTCAACTGATCAGCTGATCAGCTGATTAGTTGACGTTCGAAGCATTACAATTTTAATTCTTTTCTCTCAATACTTGAACCTCATTGGTCCGTTACCTGTGTGGATATGAGAAAACTATGCGGATATGAAATGAAACTATGCGAATATGAAAGTAAACAGCTGTAAAGTGAAACTTTTCAATTCTAAGAACTGGACTGAAATGGCTACTTTAAAAAACGGTCGTAGGTAAAATTATTTGTCATATTAATTTGTTTTTATTTCCAAACAAAGGTCCCGTCTAAGGTCCCGCATTAAGTTTCAAACTAAGTTAATCCTTTTAATAAATAAAGAAAACGCAATTGTGTACTGAAGTAACAAACCTTTATTGTTATCACTCATCAGTATCGGACCATGGTAACGGCATTTTGTGGAGTAAAGATTAGTTTTTCTCATTTTGACCCTCAAAAAATGAAAATTCCCAATTTTTTTCACTAAACCATTTTGAAGAGCTTAAAAAAGGGATAATTTTGTATACCGAAGCATTATTGCATGATTTTCATAGCTAACGGTTGTGGAGAATATTAAAAAGAGTTACCTAATTATAAATTCCCATGTTATTTCTTCGACCACCTTCAGACTTGAAGATGAGGACAGACCACCAATCGACTACAGTCGACTGCCCAGATTTACAATTAATACCCCCGCCGCAGCAAACCTGCCAACTAAGCGAATTTCCATTTGTCTGAATTGATTTTCAGTTAAATATATTTTAATAACATTAGGTTTAACGAGTACCTAGGTTTGCTGCTACAAGGAAACTAATAAAGTGTGTTTTTGAGTAAAATATTGATAGCTTAGTACAAAATAAATAAATTTGCCAAGTTTGATCAAAATATATCCATAAACAAGCAAACTACAACATTTGACAATATTCTCCATAAGAATAACATGGGAATTTTAAATTTACAATTTTTTAAATTTTCTCCGTTACTAATAACCGAACAAAAATACTTTTATATACTAAATTATTTGTTTTTTTTAAGCTCTTTAAAAAGGTCTAAAGAGAAATTGGGAAATTTTGTGTTTTGAGGGTCAAAAGTGAGAAAAACCAATTTTTACCCCATAAAACCCCCCGTAAAGCCCCGTTCCCATGGTCCGATCATGCTGGTTCGCGAACTCATTCAAGTTTATCTCCCTTTACACATTTAAACCAAATTTCATCAAAATCGGACCAAAATTACTCAAGTTATCGCGTTCACGGACGTATATATATATATATATAAATCTATATATATATATATATATACATATATAAAAATTTGAACGAATGGTGTTTTTGGCCTCTGGGGACATCAAAATGAAAAAGTAAATCGGTCCCGGGTCTAGGTCTTACCGTGCCACCTACGGTAATAGCTACTTCCCTATAGGGAAATTCGCTAAAATGAAGGAAAGGTCCTCGTTATACTGTAATATGACCTTCTCGTATACACACGAATCATAGTTTGTAAAATTCATTATTATGTTGGTTCTAAGATATTACCATTATTAAATTGGACTTTTCCAACGTGCCTTGTGTATAAAAAACTACTAAACATTTCTGGAGACCGATAAACTCCTCCTGTTTTTAAGTGAAAATGTACCAATGAACATAAACAACACAATGCGCTAAATATTGTTAAGACCTTCAGAATGGTTTACAGAGAAACAAATAAATTTGATGTTTTAAAGGCCAAAAATTAGAAAAAAAATATTTTTACCCCGTAAAACCCCCCATAAAACCACGGTGTTCATGGTTCGATCATGCTGGTTCGCGAACTCATTCATGTTTATCCAGCCTTACACGTTCATTCCAAACTTAATTAAAGTCGCTGCAAAAATACTCTATTGTCTGTGCTTGTTCACGTGTACATATATAACAATTGGAACGAATCGTGTTTTTGACCTCTGGGGACATCAAAATGAAAAATGAAATCGGTCCCAGGTCTTACAATGCCACCTACGGTAATAGCTTCTTCCTTATATGGTAAATTCGCTAAAAACAGTCTCTTTAAGTTTAAAAGTACTCTGATATGTTTAATATATCGAAAATGACACGTATGATTTCAACTTACCTATGATGCAAAGAAGCAACACAACTGACGTCGACACCATGGTTGAAAAGATGTTGAACAGGCGCCATTGGAATTATTCAAGGTGTTTATATGGGACTCGTTATAATCTTATCTTTTACAAAACAAGTACTCTGAAATAGTGGATTTTTGTTTAAGTGTTTTCTTCAGACAGTTATCTTTGATAAACCATACAAGCACTGGCAAATCCCACACTCCATATTTCACACAAGTGGTTTCTGTGATTTAATGATTTAACATGAAACTTTGTGTGGTTCTATAAGTAACCTAGCCTTTAAATATTGACAAGTGCCAAAACAAAATATACTAACACAATTTTGTGTTAAGACTTAGGGGACCAATACTTTTTATAGAATCTAATTAAACAACGATTTTAGAAAGGTTAGTCACATCGGTTTAAATCTTAGTCCATGAATTCATTCTCTGTCTAATCCACTGCTAACGATGATAATTATAATGCATCAAAATAACTCCTATCCGAAAAGCTTAGTGTCTTGTAGTAGAGTAGGTTTTATTAATTCCTCCCCCTAAACGGTAGGTATATGGAGAAAGTATTGTTTTCCTCAAAACTTTCGAGTTTCGAGTGGATATATTCCTTTCTGGACCCTGGACCAAAAAAGTGGGTTTTGAAGTGAGGTCTGTGTGTTGGTGTGTCTGTCTGTATGTGTGTATTTGTACAGAGCCACAGACCACACATGTGGTCCAATTTTGATGAAATTTGGTATGTAGCTACTAATCCTTAGTATCTCCATATATATGACATATTAGGAGACATTTTTGGAGACATTTTAGTGTAAATCCAATCAGGCCAATGGAAATCGCTTAGTCTGCAGGTTTTCTGCGGCGGGGGTATTGTTATTGAATATGGGGTATGAGAAGGGACATGAGAAATCGATTGGAGTGGGTTACAATGATGGGAAAAATCCGGTTTCTGTCCTACATCCCTTGAAAATGCCCATGTTATCGACAACACCTTTTTGTAAAGGCAGTTAACAAAAACAGAAGTTACAGGTATTTTTATTGTCATAATTAGATTTGACGTGTAATTAAAGAATAGTTGTATTAAGTTAGTCTATTAGGTCCATATTAGTATTCAAGGTTATTTTCAAGATTAAAAATGAAACCCGAAAGACCTCCGAAGCGAAAATGTTTACAGAACTCGCATTGGGGGAAGCTACAATCGATCATCGAGAAACAAATTTGACCACTTCGTCTTCAACAGAACCAGCTCATACATCTCACCAGATGTCTCAGGTCGGCAAAATGAAGTCTGAAATTCCTCAAACCTATAAAGTCGCCAAGTCGGCGGATTAGGGATATTTTATTGAACAAGCATTATGCACCCACTTTGCAAGCGGACAATATTTGGAAATTTGAAATAGGTACCATGCTATCCTTGCTACGCTTAATGCTGAAACTGGAAAGATAAACAACGATATTATCTAAATGCTACTGGGTAATGAGAATATTTGCACAACTTTAAATTAAATAATTTAACTACTTATTTAATAAATATTTTATTGAATCCGAGCAAAGCTTGATCTCCCGGTACTGTGTATTAATTATAGTAAAATATTTTATATTTTCTGATACAGCTTTAAGTTAATCGTAAAATCTAAGTGAGCCTAAATAAATATTACAAGGCTCCTAGATTTGATTTAAGATTTTAAAATTACTGAACCAAACAGTCAAATTTTTAGTTATTTAAATAGATCCTCTATATAGACAACATTTTCCTGTAGTGTTGAAGTCATCACATCCAGGAAGTGTGCCGTCAGTCAGTAGTCTCAGAGACAGCTGAGATAAGGTTTATTGTAGGTATGGCCAGGAATCAGGCCAAGCAGTAACTGCAGTAGTCTACTAGAACTCACAGCCCGTTTAGGACGACTACCGGTATTACAAATGTTGGTTTCAGTCTTGTTAAAATGCTGTTGGTGAATGTTTTGTAGAGAATGAAATTAAATGGAGATTATAAGATGAGAAAAAAATGAACACACTTTTGGGATAGGAGAACAAGCACTGTTTTATTTACTTTTTGATACACAACATGTGTTAGCAATAGAGAATAATTTAATTTGATTAAGAACACATGTTAATTGCAAGGAAAAGAGATGTACATTAAATAAAACATAGAGTGTTAAATAATATGAATGGTTAAAGTTTACTGAACATACCGGGGGCCTTGAATCCCCAGTGGATTCAACAAAAACAGTTCACGAATCCACAGTTGGCAGGGGAAACACTTTGTGGGCAGATCTTCTGAGGTTGCCACTTGATGTTTTTTTTGGCAGAATAATGGGATGTCGAGCATCTTCAGGAAGTGATGTCTGAGAAAGACGTCCTCCAACACGCAATAATCCAAATGAGTCAATGAAAGGTGAAAGACGTTGTAAACGAGTGGAGCAAAATGATTTCCGTTTGAGGCAGTTGATTTCTTCTGTGAATACTTCTTTTTGTACAAGTTTAAAAATGTGATATTTTGTGTCTTTCAGTTCCTGTGTTGAGATGAAACCTTGGCGTTTTTCAGAACCTTTACAGTTGTGTATGAAACGAAGGACGTAAGCAAAAATCCTAAGAAGTCGTTCCCATGAAGAATATTTAATGAGAAGATTGGTCAGCGTAGATTCAGTGGTAGTTGACACAAGTACAGTTAGAGGAGTGTGTTTTACTTCATCTAATGTTGAGATATCTGTAGGTGAAAAAGTTACATCAGGCCAGTTTGAAGGGGGAAGAGAAAGCCAAGAAGGCCCTGACCACCAAAGGGGGTGAGACACAAGCTCAGTGGCTAGAATACCTCTTGAAGCACAATCAGCAGGGTTTTCCTTGCTAGGGATGTAACGCCAACAGTGATAGGGGACAAGTTCTTGTGTTTGGGCGACTCTGTTAGCCACGAATGTTTTCAGCCTGTAAGATGGAGTTTGAAGCCATGTCAAGGTTACTGAAGAATCACACCACAAATAACATTGGTTGAGTGAAATTAAGGGTTTGAATGAAAAACAACAGAAGTTTACGAGTTGAGCTAATAAGTGGGCAGCGCAGAGTTCTAATCGTGGAAGAGTCACCTTCTTGAGAGGGGCGACTCTAGTTTTAGATAAAACCATACGTGTAGTCACTTCTCCGTTGGGTTGGGAACATCGTACATAGACAACAGCTGAAAACCCACGTTCAGAGGCGTCTGAGAAGCCGTGAAGTTCAACACTAGAATTTGGAGAGATTTTCAATGCTCTAGGGATCTGAATGTCTGCAAGTGCTGGTATCGCTGAGATAAAGTTACTCCAAATTGCACTAAGTTCTGGAGTGAGAGGTTCATCCCATTGTAGACCGGTCGTCCAGAGAAGTTGAATAAAACATTTCGCTGTCATAGTACATGGGCTAAGAAATCCACAAGGATCGTATATTTTAGCGACTAGACTGAGAACGTGACGTTTAGTTAGTGTTTTTGGCGGTAGGTTGAGATGAAATGAAAAATTGTCCGAGTCTGGAGACCAGTGTAGGCCAAGAATTGAGAAATGGGGATCAGGTGTATTTTCAAGAAAGACTGGAGAGTCTTTATGAGTGTCTGGAAGAGACTGAAGAAGCTCGGGAGAATTCCATTTTCGAAGTTCAAAGTGTCCACGGTTGAGTAGTTGAATGAGTTGATTTTGAAGGTTCTTTGCTTCATCTACCGTGTCTGCTCCAGTTACAATGTCGTCTACGTAAGTCTGAGTGCGCAAGACATTTGCTGCTTCAGGGAAGTCTTTACCTTCGTCTTCAGCTAACTGGTGGAGGGTACGAATCGCTAAGTAGGGTGAGCTATTTACTCCAAAAGTCACTCGAGTGAGTTTGTATGTGGATATATCTTCAGAGGGATTGTCACGCCACAAGACGAGTTGGAACAGTTGATCGGAAGGTTTGATTAAGATTTGAAGATACATTTGGCGAATATCGCAAGTGAAAACGATATTGTGTATTCTGAAATGTAGCAATATATCACAAATGTTGGTCTGTAATTTAGGGCCGGTCATGAGAGAATCATTGAGGGAAATTCCAGAGCTGGTTTTGCAGCTTGCATCATAAACGATTCGGAGTTTAGTTGAGGTACTGGATGGTTTCACAACTGCATGGTGTGGCAAGAAATAGTGAGGAGAGTTGATATCTAGATGAGGTAGTTTTACCATATGACCTTGAGAGATGTGTTCATTTATATTGTCAGAGTAAGATTTATACAAATCAGGAGAGAGTGTAAAACGTCGTTCAAGTGAGTGAAAACGTCGTTCTGCGATGAGTTTGGAAGATCCTAAAGGTGGATGATTTTCTTTAAATGGTAGCTGAACTAAGTAACGGCCATTTTCGTCCCTAGAGTGGGTAGCTTTAAACAGATCTTCACACTGTTGCTCTTCAACCGATATCTTTGAGGGTACAGATAATTCCTCTAATTTCCAAAATTTCTGTAGAGAGTTATGCAATTCGTTGTCAACCGTTGAGAGCAGAGAGATGGATGGAGTGTTAGCAGGCTGGGAATCGGTTGAACAAGGTGCATTCCCCATAACAACAAAGCCAAAGTGAGTTCCCATCATGTTAGGCATGTTAGGGCCGAGAGAATAGTTTTCATTCGTTAAAAGAAGAGGGAAGAGAGAAGCTCCGATCAGCATGTCAATGGGCCCTGATAAGTGGAAGCTGGGATCAGCAAGGGGGTAAGGTTTTACTTTCAATAGAACTCTTTGTGATATTTGAGATCTAGGGAGATTGACAGATATTTTATCAAGTATGTGCACTTCATGGTTGGATGCAACTAATTTTCCTGCCAGTGTGTTAACAGTGAGGTTCACAATACCCTTTGTGAGAGTTGGAGATTGAGAAAGACCAACTACTTGTAAGTTGGATTTGAAACGAGGTGCATTCAGTAGTTGAGCAGCTTTTTCACTAATAAAATCACACATGCTGCCACTATCAATCAATGCTCTGAACACATGAGAAACGTTATTTTGAGCAGTAACTTTAACCAGTGTTGTGCCTAAAATTACAGTTTTAGGGATTTGGTTAGCAGGACTGGCTTCCTGTGAGCAAAGAGATACGGTAGGTTTTTCATTCGAAACATGAGTGGTTGATGGTTGTGATGATGTAGAACCTTGAGATGTCTTGTCATGTTCAAAATGAAGTAAGGTGTGATGACGTTTGTGGCATTTGAAGCAAGATGCTTTAGACTTACATGTTTTAACATCATGTTTTCCGAGGCAAGAGACACATCTGTTGTTGTCCTTTACGGTTTTAAAACGTTCATTTGAAGAAAGAGAGAGAAAGCTAGGACAAGCATAAACCTTGTGGCCAGTTGATGAGCAGACAAAGCAGGGAAATGAGAAAGGATTTTTTGAGTTGTCTTGATTTGATGGAGTTGGAGTAGAGACCATTGTAACTTTCTGAGCTTGAATGAAAGAGGGCTTGGATGTGAAAGATTTGGGTTTAAAATTTGAATTGTGGTTGTTCGTACTTTGAGCAAACTTGGTATGTAACACAGCGTCTTCCATTTGGTTACACTCTTGATTAAGAAACTTGACTATTTCGACTACTTCTGGTAGAGAATGTGTTTCGCATTTTATATTAATTCTAAAAGCCTCTAGTTGTTTTAGAAGGTCATTGTCTAGTTTTCGTAAGAGTATGGTGGACAACAGAGGGTTAGAGTTAGAAGTAATGTCACAGTCAAGAGCTTTAAGTGCTTCTGTGTGTTCATAAAACAAGTTGAGGAACGTTCTGAGACATTTGTTTGAGGTAGAGGAAATGTCCGGTAGGTCGATCAGTTTGTTTAGGTGAAGTGTAGTTAACCTTCGGGTGTTGTGGTATCTGTCTCTGAGGAGCTGATAGGCAATTGAGTAATTGGCTGAAGTGATACTGAAAGCTTTTACGAGATTTAGTGGTTCATTTTTGAGCACGCTGAGAAGATATTGAAATTTAGTGACGTTTGAAATGCTTTCATTCAGATGGATGCTAGTGTCAAATAAGTTGATGAAACTTACCCACTGTAGAGGAGAACCATCAAACGTGATGAGGTCTAGTTTTGGGAGTCTTACGTGAGCAGATGATGAAGCTGAGATGTCACTAATTCTTGTTGAATCTTTACTTTCTTCTGGAACATCTTGCGGCTGCTGTTGGAGAAGGGCTTCAATCCGAGACTTGGCTTCGACGAATAGCAGTCGCAGTTTGTCTTCAGTGTCACTTACTGCATCCAAATCTAATTCTTCTGATATATGTTCCAAGGCTCTTTCCAGGTAATTTTCATAGGCTTCATGTTTCTTTTCTAACTGGTTCGAGAAGTTGTTTAAAGTTCTGATTTGTATCACTGACAAGATTGAGGGGGAAAGTGTTTCAAGCTCTTGTACAGATTTGAGAATCTTTTCAAAAGAATTTTTTATGAGAAGGGTTGATTTGTTGAAGTTTGAGAGTGAAATTGATCTGGTAGCCATATTGGACAAAACAGATGGAGTGAAACTTTACTAAGAATTAGATAGAGTTTGTGACACTATGAGAGTGGGGAGAAACATAAAGAGATTGAATGATAAAATAAATATATTTCGATAGCTTGAAAGTGTTCTGAAAATTGAATCCAAAGACTGAAATTCAAAATCCAGGCTCGATTAGGACCAATGAATGTTTTGTAGAGAATGAAATTAAATGGAGATTATAAGATGAGAAAAAAATGAACACACTTTTGGGATAGGAGAACAAGCACTGTTTTATTTACTTTTTGATACACAACATGTGTTAGCAATAGAGAATAATTTAATTTGATTAAGAACACATGTTAATTGCAAGGAAAAGAGATGCACATTAAATAAAACATAGAGTGTTAAATAATATGAATGGTTAAAGTTTACTGAACAGTTGGTTCATACAATTTGAGGGTATAATTAATTATGTGACCAACAGATGACATAAAGAGGCTGAAAATGATTGTATATCCATTAAGCTGCTTTAACAAATCGTTGTTTAATAATAAGTGATCATATGAGTAGGACATATTTACATAGGCCTACTCTCTTTGTATACTATAACATTTACTACAATTGTTATGTCGGGCTGCAATTGTTGAATGATACATAGGATTGAACTACGACACTTATAGTGTGCATACCACTTAATCCCTAAACTGAAATAATTTTTATCACAGACAGTGAATTACTTCGTGTATGCAAGGCTATATGGAATATTGGCGAATAGTCTGTGTAGCTTTGTTATTTACAGATCAGCATTACAAGATCACCTGTTTCTTATTGGCCAGGATAATTGAATAATTTCGAAATAGCTACCAACCGCTCTTACCGAAAAGATCTTTGGTCATTTCTTTATGCAGTTAACTTTGGTAATCGATATTTTGGAACTGAACAATCTTTTTCCTACAGTCACCCGACAAAGTTGGCTTCCTTGTACTGTTTATAGTACAGAAAGCTGCTAATTGCTGCATATTTATACTTTGCCGTACGGTTTATACTTTGTCGTACGGTTTATACTTTGCCGCACATCAGGATTCCAACGAAACAACACAAAACAGCGTGGTTCTATTATGCACGTAACCCGTGTGGTGTCCTCCTGATTGCGAACAGTCCTGATTGCGAACAGTCCAGACTGCGAACATGTTTGGTTCTACGAGGTGGAGGGGGTCGTCCGTGGGGTGGGGAGGATTCCTGATTGCGAACAAATTTTGAGTGGTCGGGGTTTTCAACCCTTTCACAGAAACCCTTAACAAAATGATTTAGCCTAAATCACAACTTAAGACTGGTAATATATGTAATGGAGAGGATGAATGTTCTTGAAGACACATATCTTTATGAGACGTAGTATAATTTTACGTAATGCCGCTTGTATATTAACAGACAGATTCTTTCAGACTCACAAATCCGTTCTGATAACATTTAAAGTGGCTGTTTATTTAAAATTAATTATAATATGTTTGACTTGAACAAGCAACTACAATAACTAAACAATCTCAGAGTAAAAGAAATAAAACAATCATGTCATATGAATACTATAGTTTAACATAATTAGCCGAAGTAACATGCATTTGCCAATATCACATTCCAAACTCAATCATTACCTAAAAAACCATCGTCAACGAGCAATTTAAATAGCAACTAAAACAAATACAATACTTACATACATCTTACATCCGAAATAACATGCATATGCATTACACATTACAACATTAATCATTCAATCACATTCCCAACTCAATCATTACCTAATAGCCCCGCCGCAGCAAACCTGCAGACTAAGCGAATTTGCCTGATCGGATTTACACTAAAATGTCTCCTTAAAATGTCACATTTATTCCCTATTTAAATAACACTAGTTTAACGAGTACTTAGGTTTGCTGCAACAGGGAGGGTAAAAAGGTGTTTTTTTTTTAATGTTAATAGTTTAGTATGAAATGAATACATTTTCCAAATTTGATCAAAATATGTGCATAAACAAGCAAACTACAACAGTTTACTTATCCTCCATAAGAATAACATGGGAATTTTAAATCAAAACGAAAAAGTAAATCGGTCCCGGGTCCAGGTCTTACCATGAGTACTACGGTAATAGCTTATTCCCTTATGGGAAATTCGCTAAAAATATTAAAAACAAGCAATTAAAACTCACGTTCAACAACAGTTACTAAACCATCTTTACAGATTCCAAAATATTTGTTCGCAGTCTGGACGACTCATGTTCAGATAGTCCACAGCATTTTTGAGGTGTTCGCAGTCTGGACGATTTTACCCTTGTTCGCAATCTGGACTGTTCGCAATCAGGACACAACCATCCGTGTACGCTTGGAAATAGGTTGGCAACACTTAAAGATAATAATACTATGAGCAGCTGATTGACTATTATAACTACGATTTAACCTGTCATTTCGTGTTTATAGTTTCGGTATTTCTGAACTTTCTGGACTTTTCTTTTAAACGTTTTTAAAACATTCCTACGATCTTAATAAACAAGAAAATACCTTTAAAGCATTTTTTTAGGCGCGGAAACTACTTCAAATTACAAAAGCATACGGAACTATATTCTCAAAACTCGGAGCACATTTCTTGCCGAGGAAAAATAGCGGAGTGATACGGACCGCGGGTACTACTTTCTCTAGGGCACCTATTTGTGTTGCCAGCTGAACCTAAAAACGTGTTTTATAGTGTTTGAAAGACTAATTATTTATATGCTTTATAGTGACTGTAGGAAAAATAAAATGTGTAACACGAGTGAAAAAGGCCTTTGCTGCACTCGAGATCATTCCGCACTCGCCTGCGGCTCGTGCGTAAACATTGCTCTCGTGTGCAGCAAAGTGCCACTTTCACCACTAGTTACACAAATAACTATTATACATTACACACTACAGGCGATAGTATGCGTCAAGAAGGTGCCACAAAAAGTCCTTAATAAAATGGCCCAATACGAACTGCATAAAGCATCTCATCGTCACTACTTTTGAAAGCAGCTAGGGGATTGCTAAATACGAACGCAGGATGAGTGTCCAATAGACTGAATCTGTATAACCTTACTAAGACCAGCTGTCTAGGACCATTACTGAGAAGCCCGATGATGAAGAACACCTTGGTCCAGTTTCGAACCAACAAAGAGCTGCTGACTCTTCGCAGAAAGAACCGGCAACGGGCAACCTTCTAATATTCACTAAGCCTGATCATCTTTCCAGTTACATATCCTTGCTCACTGCACCACTCATCGATAAATACATTTCCTTTATAAGCCCATAAAGTAGTGTTCAGTTAGTTGTTTTTCTAACAATCCACAGTAGTGGTAACCGTTTTGCTGCTGATAACTTCAGCGCTAAGTTATGCGTCGTCACACACTATTGTTTTAAAACTTCGTAGTTCTGGTCAGTTTGCTCTCTGAACTGGAACTTGCAGGTCTCGAACAAGCAGTGAGTATGCCTAATGTAGAATACAGCAAAAAGAATACAATGAATTGACACATGGATTTATAATGGATTTTTATAATTTATTATTTTATTTTATTATTTATTATATATTTATATATTATTATATATTATTATATATTATTATTATATAATTTACATTTATAATTTATTATACAATGGATTTATAGAGTTAGTTATAGAGTTAGTAGAGTTAGTAGAGTTACTAGTTTTTGAGACAAATCGCTTTTATAAACTTTTAGGAAATCATATTGGGAATACTTCAGAGTTAACGTAATCACCTTATGTACTTTGATTAGGTATTTTAATCTGAGTACAAATACAAGGTGAGTGTAGATTAAAGTGAGATGATCTTTGTAGCTTTGTTACTGACTAAGATTAGTTGTTTCTTTAACTAGGATAAAGAATTGAAAGTCCGAAATATCCAAAAAATGTGTTTAAATGCTTTTGAAGAACACAGTCACATCAATGAAAGTTTTTATGTTACTTAATGACACTTTATTACTCTCAATAAAGTTATGGGAGAACTGACTGTACTGATGAGAAATTAGCTTTAAGCATGTAATTCTAAAAGAAAGGAGGTTTGTCAATAATTGTTTTCTAGTCAAAAACATTACATAGGTTGTTCCAGAATGAGTAGTATGTACCTCCTGGTAGAAGGACGGCTGATGTAGTAAAAGAAGAAGTTCTCCATTGGTTTAACTTCAGTAGTCACATGTTTAACTCTTTGGTGATCATATATGAATGGATATAATAAAAATACATTTTATTTTCAGATTGTTTGTTATTTTATATAATTGTCGTACAAAAACTCACTTATTTTCATTCCACCTTTGTGTAGGGTATGGCAGCATTCGTGGTGTTACTCATACTTTCTACTTCGATTTTGATGACATTGGAATGTAAGGGTAAGAAAACAGCACTCGCCTCCAACCCTGATGTTGTGAGGACATATTCTACAAGTCTAGCTCAATGTGAAATAGGTGAGGATAAATATACACATTACTTGAAAACATACCACATTGTTGGATATTTACATGTTTTTTTTTTGAAGAAATAGTCTAAAATGTATATCAATGATGTTTCTAATGTCTGAAGTTAATAAATAATGTTAGCTATAAATGGATATTATTAAAATGTGCTTGGAGGTTTTTTTAATTAGCATTGTAATGTTTTACAAAGTAGAAAAATATCGTTTTTTTTAAGAAAAGTTGTCGTCATTTTTTTTTTTTTTTTATTAAAAAAGTCTACCTGTATAACATTCTTTGATTCTTATCAATCAGGAGGGTTCTCAAGTTAAAAATATTTTTCTAATATATATTTACACTTATACTTACAGTTATACACTTATAAATTTAATACCACGTACAATGCTAACAAGAAGTCATTTATTTATAATGGTCCAAACACGGTGTTGTCATCCTTATTATCCTACCTGTTTAAAAAGGATTTGAGTTAAACCCACGATGGAGCTTTAGACGAAAATAAGTCAAAAATGTTATTTCCTTAATCAAACCAGAAAAATTTAACGAAAACTATTAAATCCATTTTTTACCTAGCTAGATGATAAACAGTGACAAATTATTGTCTAATCATTTCTATAGTTAAGGACAGCTACACGTCCTAGCTATAATAACTTAGCTTATTTAATTACCTAATTTGATTATGACTTTATGATTTTAAACTCATTGAAAATTACCTTATTATTTAACATGAAAAATGCACAAACTTATCCATTCAAGTACTATTATTCTGTTATATTTTTACACTTGATTCGAAATTCCCGAAGGAAAATTTACTTCTCTTTAAACGCTATTGAACTCAAGTACAGTTTCACAAAGTGTTGCAACAATCTTATCTAATGACAAATTCTTTTATAAAGTTGCGTGATTCATTTATGAAGTACTATTAATATGTTAAATCTTCGACGATTTAAACCAGATGTATCACATAAGTGGTGTATAGGGTTTCTAAGATAATAGTTTATCTCTTCAGAAAATCCGAATTGATAACGCAAAATTAAGATCTGAATTTATTGTTTACTTAACAATAATCTGAATCAACCATCCAGTACATAGAACCGCTATTGATTTACAAATCATAATAGAGTGTTCTGATTATAATATATCAAACTAAAAGTAGACAAATTAAATTGATTACGAATGTTCTTTACTTTAAGACTGGTTCCTAAAATTAAACTTATGTCACATTTCCTTGATATTATCATACATTGTTGATTTAATGACATACGCGTAGTAAAATCTATTGGTAGGCTACCCTTTTGGTGGATACATCAACAAATATTTCAAATCAATTTATTAACAAGCTTTTAAATAATACACAGGATAGTTAAAATACATCACACAACTACTTTAAACCGTCATCGGAATAATAATTTGGTCGTTGTTTCTTATAAATAATGTTCATAATATGTACAAAACATGCTATCAATACAAATATTTTGCCACAAACAACATTTAAACAACGGTAGATCTTAATAAACCGTCGTCGTGGTAATATACACCCCTTGTAAGCTCTGTCTGCAAAAACTTCGCAATTGTGAAGACGGCTTGCGGCAAGTCGCTTGCGGGAACTAAATAGGAATCAGAATGAGAGATGAACCAAGGGCAACGTTTAGACGAATCTGGAGAAGTTGGCTACAATGAAAGTGCACTGACAATATAAGCTGTTTCTTTTTCATGGACAGCTAGACCAATGAATACAAGAATTTCTAGCTACTATGTCTTTTATAATAGGCGAGCCCAATTAACCCAATTTAACTACCCAACTACACACGGGGTAAGATATTCAATCAATTCATTTTGAGATTTTTTTATCGGTACTTTTTTTTTGTCAATAATAGTTGACAAGTTTGTCTAAAAAGTGAGAAACCATTGACCTATTGATTGGTGAGATAAAAAAAGATACTGTAGTGAAAGAGAAAATACGTCTAGGATCACATATTAGCATGGGATCATATTTAAGGTTATTCACTAAACTAATCGAGATTTTAATGATAATATTTTTTTTCATGCTTCTTTGTGTTGTACATAGCGTGGCCATCTAAGACACGCTATCTTTTCGATTGTAATTGATCTGCATAGACATTTTTGTCATATGCGGATTATCCCAAACTCTTAAGCAATTCTTTAACATGATTAATATACAGTACCTCATAATTATTGTTCAGCAGCCGCCCACCGCGCTGAGGCGGATGACCAGTGGCTCATGATGTTCAGCAAGATGGTCAAGGACGGAGTAGATGTCGGACACACACTACTGCAGGTGTTCCAGTGGCCGCTAGAAGTAGGGTTGTCTCTTCACAATGCAGTTTTATCCCAGGTCAGAACTCAGAATCTCAGCATGACTATTAGCTAACATTTATAGTATCGCCTTTGATTTAACTATATATTACATCCCCATGTCAAAGCTGTCGCCATTTTTTTTTATCAAAATCGTCATAGTTGATGTGAGCCACCAACAAAATGTGCTGATATGAATTACTATACCTTCCGCAAAGATTCGTGGCGGCTGAGGGATTAGGACGTTCAGGTGGTGTCCCGGCCCCTAAATTAGCCCTCGTTCGGCTGCTCTGGGTTTTGACCATGAGTCACCCACTAGGCTCAATGCATATGTGGTAGAATCTTTGTATATCACCATAAAGTGTATTAAATATTGCCTTTTTTCTAACCTGCGTCAAATAACAAGAACATTGAGCCCAAACACGAAATAATTGCGACGATATTGAGTATACATTTGGCTTTAAAATTATATACAGTTTTCGTGTCGCGGTATGCTTAATACCATCGCAATTATTTCGTGTTTCGGCTCAATGTTCTTGTTATTTGACGCAGGATACAAAAATGGCGTTATTTAATACACATTATGGTGATATACTAAAATTTTACCAACTATGCATTCAGCCCAGTGGCTGACTCATTGTCAAACCCCAGAGCAGCCGAGTGAGGGCTAATTTAAGGGCTGGGACACCACCCGACCGTCCTAATCCCTCAGCCGCCACGAATCTTTGCGGAAGGATAATTTCTGTCGAATACACGAACTTTTTTACCAAGTCAATCTGATAGAACGACTTATTGTATGTTTTAGCAACTGTTATGACCCATCAACTACGTCAGAAACAAAACGTAAGGTAGACTAGAAACTAGGATTTTAGACACAAGTGCATTATGTAACTGGCTCACAATATGTAATAATGTAATGTTAATAAAAAGTTTGCGACATCAGTCCATATAGATGGGATGTCTACTTTAGTATCCAATAGTCAATGGTATCACCGAAAAAATGTAGTTTCATCAACCAATGGTTTTAGTAGAAGGTCGTAAACATAGTGATAAAGAGGATAAACCTAGGAGGGGTAAATAATAATAAATAAACCTAAGAGGATAAACCTAGGAGGGGTAAATAATAATAAATAAACCTAATAGGATAAACCTAGGAGGGGTAAATAATAATAAATATACCTAAGAGGATAAACCTAGGAGGGGTAAATAATAATAAATAATCCTAGGAGGGGTAAATAACAATAAATAAACCTAAGAGGATAAACCTAGTAGGGGTAAATAATAATAAATAAACCTAAGAGGATAAACCTAGGAGGGGTAAATAATAATAAATAAACCTAATAGGATAAACCTAGGAGGGGTAAATAATAATAAATAAACCTAATAGGATAAACCTAGGAGGGGTAAATAATAATAAATAATCCTAGGAGGGGTAAATAACAATAAATAAACCTAAGAGGATAAACCTAGTAGGGGTAAATAATAATAAATAAACCTAATAGGATAAACCTAGGAGGGGTAAATAATAATAAATAAACCTAAGAGGATAAACCTAGGAGGGGTAAATAATAATAAATAAACCTAAGAGGATAAACCTAGGAGGGGTAAATAATAATAAATAAACCTAATAGGATAAACCTAGGAGGGGTAAATAATAATAAATAAACCTAAGAGGATAAACCAATTAGTGATAAAACTAGGTTGAGTTTGAAGATTTATATTTGATCTAGAAAATTCCTCTTAGATTTAATGATAGTATTTGATTTTCCTAAGGACTATGAAAACACTAACTTTTTAAGCTATGGTAAATTTATTTTTATTTTATGGAGATAGGTAGTCATTATAGCAATAGTGTTTTTCCACTAAGTGAATCAACCATGGGAACTATTGTGACGTACCTTTCACACCAACGCTTGAAAATAATTTGTTCCTTTACACAGATTGGTGCAATGATCTCCTGGTTCAACTTCCTCGTCGGCTTCGTCTCCCCAGGAGGTACCGGCACCGCCCTCCTATCCTGGCTTAGGGGAGACCCTACCAAGATGTCCTGAAGATATCCTGCCCAAACATCGAGAAAGTTCTGTACATTTCAAGAGCTTAAACACTATTAACCAAAACACTGTTTGCAATCTTTCAAGAACGATTTGACCGACAGGTAACTTGGTCGTAAAGCCATATGACTGACGAGTCACTTGTCTAACCATTTTACTGTCATTTTAGCTTATTTTCAAGTTTTTACTACCGTTAAATGAACATTTGTTTAGTGTTCTCTTTAAGTAACAGTCTCTTTAAGTAACATCTTTCTTAATTGTCAAATTGTGTAAAACGTCCTTTATTGACCTTTATAGTTAAACAAATTCAAGCCATGAACTAAATTTAAAAAATAGTAAAGAAAGTTATTTTAATTATTTACTGTAGAGTTCTTTGCATAACCAGTGATTTTCAAATAGTATAATAAAACTTTGTCACATACTAAATTCAGCCATTAAGATAGTTTATTAAATGTAACCAACTTGATATTACGGGTATAACATAGGTTTAGGCTACACTTCCATGTGAGCATGAATGTTATTATAGTCATGTGATGTTTCTTGCATATTACATTAAAAATACAAATTAAGACGGATTTGACAAAACTATTTCAGGTTATAAAAAATATACATACTGGGTTTCGTGAACTCTATTAACCTTTTAAGGCATAATTTACGTACTAAATACGAAATAGAATAATACGTAACAATTTAAAACTTAAAAGTTGCCCGTTTGCCGCCATTTTGTTTTCTCATAAACTATTTTTTTATTAACAGCTTGTGGTGGATTACAATTTGGTACATTGAGAAAATATACAAAGACCCATTTTCAGAAAACTCTATTTTTGACCATTAAAAAATGTTTGAACTTAAATAACACAACAACTAACTTCATCAGCATTACAAAACGCCATGATTGAACAAAGAACGCGGGTAACTTTGGAGTTTTTAAAATTTCTAAGAGATATTTTAGTTTGTCTTTAGCCTCTGAATGATTCGGGGACATTCTGTATAGCCAATAGAGCAATAAAACCACGAGGCACCTTTACCTAATATGTTTAGAAACTGGAAACAAATTATACTGTTTTATCGTCAATGTTGAAGTGTATACAGGGCGGTAAAAAAGTCCCAGGACAGTTAAATATTTTAAAATATAATGCAGATAGAGCTACAATACTTGGTACAAAGTTACAGGGCATAAAACTCTATTTTAACATATATTCAGTGATCCAATAACTCTTCAGCGGGACGGCCCACAAGGAGTCGGAATAAAATCTTAAAGGAAGCATAGGTCAATATGCACATCAAATTAAAGGTCTTTTCCACATCAAGCATCGGCATATATTTATCTACTGTAAATTCGACACTGTACATTCGACAAAAAACATAAATTTGATTTATTTTTGAATTCTTACTTCAATTTAATATGTATGTCTCCAGTTATAAAATAACTGTTATGAAATAACTGATTCCTCTAGAATTGCAACAGTCATAAAGATGTAATTCTTTATTGATTACATCATTATTCATATAATGACATTTTTACAGTATATCGCTAAAGGTCTTGTTAGTTTAGACATAGTTTACAACTATATCATAGTTTAGTGTACCGAACGTACCTGACGATGATAGAAATGGCCGTAGTGAAGTATCGCCCTGATTGCGTAGACGGTAAGAACATTGCGTAGACGGTAAATATATTATTATATAGATTTGTAATGTAGTGGTAAATACATGACGTGTGTTGGAGTCTATATTCATACATCTCAATATGAAACCCCACATGTAGGCCTACACGTGTTCCTTATAATTATTATTGTCTTATTCCCATTAAAGCACCTACAATTCTTGGCGTTGCAATGAGAGAAGCAAAATGGATACAGGTATGCGTTGTGTTATTAGTATCAAATAAATGCAGGCGCTACCCGTACAATTCTCAGTAGGTACTTTATTATTGACTGATGACAACTATTCGTTATGAGAAATTTTTTTTAAATATATTTTATATACTTTATGGTGTTATATCCCTTAATATGGTTTACGTTTACTTTGGGTAACTGGACCTTACTCTAGTCTGGTAATTTATAAACCCATTATTTTGTTGTGTAAAGGGCTAACCGTGAATAATAGGCTACTTAGGTGTTCAAATCCCGCCAAATCACCAATGGATTTTATCTAAGTGATAATGCCACAACCCCTAGGTATAGTCTGAGGTAATGTGAAAAACGATTCCGGCTCGTGCCTAGGACAAAAAAAGGAAAGAACTAAAGAGTATAACAACTAAGTACTTTTTAGTATGAGACCCGACAAATATGTGAAAAATAACAAAACTACGCTGTAAATAATCAAATTACTCAGTTCTATTCATCAGTGTTTCCTAGGTACGCATCATGAACAAAGCATCTTTGAAAGTTATAAAAAGAAGAAAGTTTGCATGAGACTTTCAGTCAACTTGAACTTCAGTTTCTTGCATGGTGCTATGATAATTAATAGATCCGATAAACAGCGGTATACGTTACCTATTCTAGAAGGAAGCACAACTGGATTCCAGGACGAGGGAAACAGATGATCCATTGGAGCAAGGAGAGATGTTTCGTAAAGAGGATGTTACCAAAGTCACAACGCGACCAATCGATTGTCGGCAATTACACAAACCACAGTCAACCGGCTGTCGCTTCCGGCGGGAACTGCATCAGCTGATCAGCTGACTGTGATCAGCTGACTGAGTCTTGGAAAAATATTGTCACGGATTAAACAGTTGGTTTTGAAATGCCCAGCAGACATTCCATCTGTTTTTACCAGTTGATGCCATTTTCAGTTGTTATTTCGCAAACTTTGAAACTAATTTGACCAAATAGAACTATATTTTAGTTTATTTCTAGTGAATATCTGTAAGATAATTATTTAAATTCCTCAAATATAGCCTATTTATGAATAATGGTTTTACAAAAAAATTTGATTGACTCTGTATGTGGCATTTTTAACGGATTTATAAAAGTACACAACAAACTTTTGCAGAAACGACCCAAACCCTTATGATTTGTAGGTGTACCGGGAATCGAACCCGCACCTCCCAGACCGAAGTCCGAGACTCTGACCACTTACCACCAAAGCTCAATAATAGGTATAGCTTTAGAAAATACGTGGTTTAATTAATAATTAAGCTGTGAGAATAAAGTAGACTTAAATTAATTTGTAAGGGTGAATGTAAAATCTGTGGGTTTTTCTTGTCAATAAGTCGAATCGATGAACTATTTCAAAAGTCCCACGTTGAAACTTTGGTCCCCCAGGGAGCGTAGGTCAGTGGATTTAAGTTAAGGACAAGGACATGAAGTTTGTATAGTTAGAATAGTTACGAACCAAGTTTTAATCCTAGTCGGTTCATCATTAACAAACGGATACACATAAACTACCTCTAAATTATATCATTACGTGCGCAAGATTACTGATATTTAAGGAAATAAAGCGTACACTGTAAAATTAGCTAAAAAATAAAATTTGAGCCGAAATTGAATAGGTTACTAAACAGTTATTCACAATTCTAAGTAGTAGTCTCCTGAGGTGGTTTAGTGCGTGTCGTAACACTTCGGCCCAAGTAACACTTCGGCCCAGTAACATTTCGGCCCGAAACCCTCAGATGTGGCCTACGGTCCAACTCTCTACCTGCCCACTAGTAACACTTCGTCCCAACAAAATATTTGACAGGTTAGGTTAGGTTAGGTAAGATTCCACCGATTCTCCGTCATGTGAAGTCAGAGGATGCAAGGGGTGACGGTTGGGCGACATTCCACCAGAGGGTGGTTGCAAAGTATACAGGTCATGTACCTCTTACTACCTGAACTGCGTTCCTCAATCCTTGTCAATTTTTCGTCGGGCCGAAATGTTACTCCATTAGCTTATTTAATCATCTGTAAAAGTGAGTGGGACGAAGTGATACTGTTTTTCTAAGAAATTTGAGTTTGGCCGAAATGTTACTGGGCCGAAGTGTTACTACATCGGTTTAGTGGTTAGAGCGTGGGACCACAGACAATTATTATATTGTCTGTGGTGGGACTTCAATCCCTTTGGTCAAGGGTTGAAATATCGCTAATCACCAATGGATTTTATCCAAGTGATAATTCCGCAACCCCTAGGTCTAGCCTGAATTAATGTGAAAAACAAACCCATAGCGTCTTAGGACAAAACAAATAGTACACAAACGTAACTGAATATGAAACATAATGCTATCTACAGATTTAGCGATAAAATAGTCAAGTTAAAAAATCTAAAATCAACGAATATCTACAGATGACCTCCTGTGATAGGTAAACACTATATACCTATTGAGTTTGTAAATACATGTTCCATTTATATAAGCTTAAAATAATAATGAATATCAGATTATTAGCCTCTTGTTTACTGATAAATACCGTTTTTATCTACGACACAAAATGTTCTGCAGTGACGCTCGGACATGCTTTCCGTTTGACATTGAACTCTCACTAGTCTCACTAGCCCACAAACTGTTTCGTCTTCAACTCTTCCGATGATCACTTGAAACTACTCACTAGTGAAAACGTCCAGCAATCGACATGCGGTGGCACTTTCCTTGGAAGCGGGCTTTGTTGGAACTTTCTTTTGATAGGGGTTTAAAGGGAGTACACAGTGTAAAATATTTTTGTAAATATTTGTGCGTTTTATGAGTATATAGGAAAGAGTTCTTTTGCTATCATGTGCTAAAGCATTATTATGTAAATACATATTGAATTACCCACAGTTATTGCAAACCACATAAGTTTCATATGTATGTTTAAGGCTGAGAGGGTTGTTCAGGATTATGGTAAGAAATATTTTGTGGGAAAATCTTAGAATTATAATCATAGTTTTTCTATGAAGTGACTTTTTAAAGAACAGTGGTTCTCTTACACTTCTCATGGAACATTGCAATAACTATAATTGTATAGCTTTTCGTTGAGTGAAATCTCCAATACTTACTGAGAGAATTCTTTCCGTCTGGGCGATCCGTCTTTTCCTCCGAAGCTTAGGACCTGAAGCTTCCATTTCGTTACCAGTTTGGACCTGAAGCTTGATGTGGGTTTGGTACCGACAGACCTAAAAATTATTAAATAGAAGCAATTGGTGATTCGCGGGATTTTATACCGAGCCTTAAGAGTAGATGTTCGTGCTCGAACTACTAAATCAGTCTTTTGGAAATCAACAATTAAGCATTAAGGGGTTTGGTCTCATATAGGTAATTGAATTAAAA